CAAATTGGGCGGTAGAGGAAGTAAAGGAAATGGGTGTAAATTTTTACAAGATGGAGACAATTTAACATTTTAACCCATATAATTTATTAATTGACAAAATGTCTTTATAACATATAAGGGTACTTATGTAACTTTTTATATATTCACTTCACTTCCCTCCCCTTTTATAGAACTCCCAAACAAGGTGAATTAAGTTTACTTCCATTCCCCTTATTAAACTCCCAGACAACATTTTATCTGTTCCCTCTCCTTACCTACCTTTCCTTTTCATTATTTAACCTTCCTTCCCTTCCCTATTAAACTCCCAAACAAAGCATTAAGCTTGCTCTTAACACAAAAGATTACTGTTAATCAGTAGCTAACAAGTCTCAACTGCATTAAATACACCTTATATGGTTATCTAACACAATGACAACTGTAAGTTGAAGAAGCTGCCCATCCCAAGGTTATGGAAAAAAATCTGTTAAAATTTATCCGCCAGGTAGAAAAGATCACACATATCTAGACACCACTTGCGTAAAAAGATGGTACAAAATCCAATAATAAAAATAAGAAACTTACCTGGGTAGTCCCATCCTTGATGTTGTGGCCAAGATGGGTTTCCCCAAGCCTGCAACCATTTGTCATTGAAATCAGAGTATACGAAAACTTGCTCAAAATAATTAAAAAAACAGAGTTACCAATTACACAATCTTATGAAAGAAAAGATAACCATTCACCACAATAGACAACCCCTATCCTATCTTTAATATAAAAGTAAAACTTTTATATTTGGTCCTCTCGTCGCACTGCTCTCATTGAAACCCTATATTATTTGCCAGATTGTTCTCGAACGACTACTGTCTTCATTAATTCAACATCTATCACAAATTCCTCCAAAGATTTTTCACATCTTTAATCCTCATATTATGACTAAAGCAGCTCACGCGTGTTATCATACTGCTATTCTGCTATTCTTTCGTCTAAAGGCAATAACTTTCCCATCAGGAACAAAATAGGTAGTCAATCCGAGGTAGAAACAGACCTGATTAGGCGGCGGAGGAGGATACGCTAACGGCGGAGGCGTATAATGGCTGCTGCGAGGAGGCGAGCATGCTGAGGACGGATACTGGCGCTGATGCAGCAATATGGTCGGCGGCCGGCATACGACGGTATGGCTGGCCCCATGGTAAGACGATGGTGCGCGGTGGCAGCGGCCGCGATGCAGGCGGACGCCAGTGCATGATGATCGCTGGTTTCTGTGAAATTGAGAATGACGGGAGGAGGAAGGAGGGTGTTGGTGATTCGTGAAAGCTGGTGTTGAAGTAGCCGCCGGCGGAAGGAAGGAGGAAGGGGAGTGGGGAGGGTACAGGGATGATTCTCCAGCGCCGGCGCGCGGCGAGGGGTTAGGCTAGAAAATCCTCGGTGACGTGCTGCTGCTGGTGGTTTTGGAAAGAATCCATGGGGGTTTGTTTGGGAGTAGATGAAGAGAAGAGAGCTAGTTAGGGATTTGAGGCAGAGGGGTTTCGGTTATGAATACCTCGGCCTTAGACGACCGAACGGGCCGGATTTGGGCTGGGGAGCATATACATGGAACCTGGGGCTCCGAAGAACTATGAAATTGTGAAAGGTATGATAGGATAACAGCGAATTTAGGGGCTTTTTTTTTAAATTTAAGGAAAATACGACTTTGACGCACTGGGCTGTCCAAAAAGTCCGTAGGGCGGACCCAGCCCATTTTTTCTAAACTTGCAAAAGGCTCCGAAAAATCAGGCCGGGTGGGTTCTACGTCCGGGTCCGAGTACCTTCGCTAGTGGCCGGCCCTAAACTGATCCGGCTCGGACCCTAAACTGCGTACGGCTCGGAATTCTGCCGGCGCATTGCGTTCGTGTACCCCCACAACGCGGGTACGAGCCCTCCCCAGTGGCTATCTAGTCATTAGGACTGGATCCAGGTCAAAAACCCGAGCCGGCCTGATTTACCCCGTCCCAACGGCTAGACCCAAAAACGATAGTCGTTGGGGCCAAAATGCCCGACCCAACCCGGTTCGGATAGACCCAGAAACAATCATAAATGACTATTTTCAGTCATTTTATCAAAATACCCTAAAAGTAGTATTAAAAATGTCAATTTTTTAGGGTACCTTGGTCATTTGAATATGGAGCTGTCTCTATAAACAGAGGGGTTTTTATTTGGTTTTCTCATCCAAAAATTGTTCTTTTCTCTCTTAATACTATCTAATACTTTCTTTACTCTCTAATGTCCTCTTATATTCTCTAATACTCTCTCTTATAGGGTGTTTGGTTCACCCATTTCGTATAAAAAGTTTTAAGAAAAGACCTGACGATGGCATTTTTGTAGTTAAAAATTTTCAATAGTTTTCTATAAACTATGTTTGGTTCAAAAAAAAATTCATAGAAATGTTTTCTATAACATAGGGAAATGTACTATATTTTATAGAAATCAACTTCCTCTCAAAATGAGAGGAAATTGGTGAGAAATCTGACACATTGATTTAAATAATAGTTTGTGTACAAACTTATCCATTTTCACTTCCCAACTCATTTTCTATAAATTTAGTTTTTTCCCTCTTTTTCCTATTTTGATCCAAACAAAGAAAGAATAAAAAATAAGAAAACACCACTTTTGAATTTCCATAAAATTTTCCTATATTTTTTTATAGAAATACATGGAAATCAATTTTTGGATACTTTTCCTTTTTTTTATAGAAATTGAACCAAATAGCCCCTTATACTATTAAATACTCTCTCCTAATATTTTAATTGTTAGATACTATCAGATTAATAATAAAATAGAATTTATTTTTATTTTTTTAATTTCTCTAAAATTTGCAAATTGTATAATTCTATTATAAGTGATTAATAATAAGATTGAATTTCTTTGCAAGTTGCAACAATCTCACATCCTTGTACATACTTTTTAAGTTACTTCTTTTTTTGAAAAAAAAATTATTTTTTTTATTTTTGTCAAAAAATCACAAATTTTAGCTAAAAAAATAAATTTTGAAAATAAAATATTCAGGCCAGCCCGGTGCTCGGCCCGCACCCTCTTCAACCCGGACCTGGTAGATTCGGTTCCGGACAAGGCATTTTACCCAGCCTAGAGATTTCCTAGCCAAACTTGGCAGAGCCGTTTGGACAATCCTAGGCGCACATAACAACAACACAAAGAATCACAACTATCGTGATTTTACCCCCACTTTATCCTTAATTTATCCCATTCAAATTATCCTAACTAGTATTTAGACCCGTGCAAAGCACAATTTCTAAAAGATTTTCTACAAATATTGAACATGTTATCAAAATAAAGTATTCTGCTTTAGATATGAAATATAGTGGTAGAAGTGAACCGAATAATTAATAAGCCGTTCAAATATTATTCGTACAGATATTCGATCAAGTTCGATTCGATAGTTCATTTAGTACTAAACAAATAATTTTCAGTGTTTGGCTTATAAATGAATAGAATTTAACCGAAGGTGTGTTCGATTTGGTAGTTCATTAACTATTCAATTCGATAACTTTTTAATAAAATTTAACCAAAGCTATGTTCGATAGTTCAGTAACTGTTCGATTCGATAGTCCTATTAATTGAACTTATTGCAAATATTACTTTTATAATTTTTTATTTGCAAATGCTACCCTTATAAATAGGTAAGAGCGGGTTTAGGGCTAGGGTTTTCAGTGTTCTCCTTCGCTTTCTATCAGCCTTTCTCCTTCTGACCTGACTCCCTAGTAGATCGGCTCCTCCTTCAGATCCGACTCCAAGTGAATTCTAGGGCTAGGGTTTTCACTGTTCTCCCTCGAATCTGTGGTTCACTCCTCCATCGAAGCTCGTCGTCCCTCGAATGTCGTCGACTTCTCCCTCGAAGCTCGTCGTCCCTCGAATGTCGTCGTCGACTCCTCCCTCGAAGCTCGTCGTCGACTCCTCCCTCGAAGCTCGTCATCCCTTGAAGCTCTTCGTCCCTCGAAAATCGTCGTTTACTCCTCCCTCGACTGTCTTCGCTCTCGAGTTATCACAATGTAAGTTGAAGCTTAAAGTTACCATTATTCTTGATTTTTAATTTATACTAATTGCTAAAGATTACTTCTTTATCCCTTTTTCGGATAATTTTGCACAAGATCTGATCTCATGCCTTGCGGATCTGTAATCTCAGTCAGCTTCATTTAATTATCAGAGGTGAACTCTCATATTCACTACCTAATCCGGCTCAATGTTTTTCTCTGTGGCAAGTGAAATATTGTTAATCGAATGTTCGCGTATAGTTACCGAACATGTACACAACTAAACGAAGCGAATTAGAATTCTGAATATTATTCGAGTCGAATTCGAACACGAATATGAATAGTGCTATTTGAGTCGAAGTCGAATTCGAATAAGGCACTATTTGGAGGATTGTATTGGATTTCATTAATTTAATAGGAACTTGTTGTTTGGTTCTTAGTGTCAGAACGTGTTGTTTGGTTCTTAGTGACAGAAATCTTGTGTTATGGTTACAATCACAGTGGGTATCATAATGTAAAAACTCTTATGTCAACATCATAACATCAAAAATATTGTCTTAGGCTATATATTTAGTTATTTTCACAACACAACACAACACAGTAATAAGGATACTATGATTAATGTGTATAAACTAAGAACAAATTTACATACAACCTAATTTGAGCATTTTACCATAATAAAGTAAGAAAATAACACCATACCGTGATCCTTTCCTTGCAAATGGTTGAATCTGTTGGTTTAATGAATAAATATTTTCTGTAAATATAACAAAGAATAATTACCTACATTAAAAGAGAATTAAAAGAAGTATTAAATGCATAGCAACACTAAGTATTTCATTTATGTAAAAGAAAATAAATTGGGAGAGGGAAGATTGAGGACAAAGATCCTTAAAATAAAATATGTTGAAAGTATAGTGGTGTTGCTCATCAAAATGCCGCCCCTTATGACTGCAATTTTTTCATAATAAGGTCTCTAGTCCCTAGTAACCACTCCACAAAAATTTTCCTCCGACATAAATATTTTCCCTGTAGTTTTGTCAAATTCCTGGACCATTGTTTGAAATATTCTTCATATTTGTCATATATTTTATTCTATGCTGAAATATTTTACGTCTGGATTGTTTGCTACACTTGTTATTCTTCATATGAGTCATAATTGTTTACTATACTATGTACCTCATGTAATTTTTCAGGGTTCAATTACTAACATTTTGGCATATTTATGGCAAACACTGATAATCCATATTCTCAAATTGTGCATCTGTTAAAATTGAAGCTGGAATGTATATATTTGACAGCTCGTCTCCTAGAGTGGGTGTTTCATCACCTTCTCATCCAAAAGTTTGTTTTTCTTTTCACCCCTTCAACATGGAATGGGTTTCCCTAAATGTAAAAATTTGATTTCCATCCATTTCCTCCAAAAAAAAAATCATGAAATGGGTTTCCCTAAATGTAAAAATTTGATTTCTGTCCATTTCCTCCAAAAAAAAAAAATCATGAAATGAGTTTCCGTAAATATGAGTCGCATTATCCAATAATATAATGACAACTCATCTCATCTCTTTTTAGTTTTAAGAATGAACCAAACATAAGAAAAGAACCTATTATAGAAAATAGATTTCTTATAATTGATTTTCTTGTTTTTTAGCCAACCGAACAACCTTAAAACAAGTCATGAAATTTATTTCCTAAAAAATCACCCACTAATATGGTGACAACTCATCTCATATTCTTTCTTACTTTTAAGATATGAACCAAACACAAGAAAAGAACCTATTATAGGAAATATGTTTCCTTTTCTTTGATTTCCTTGTTTTTTTAGCCAACCAAACAGCTTAGTTAAAAGAAGTAGTTGATAAGTGTACAAATAGCTTTGGAAATGAAGGACTAGGGCCCAAACTTGACAAACCAATTATTTTTCAAGTGCCATTGAAACGTAAAAGCCCAAAACCAACATGGCCCACTTCTTTACGAGATCCTAACCCTTTTCTTTGCGAATACTAAAAGGGATCAATTCGAATCCTATCGCTTTTCTGCTTTTCTCAGAGTTCTTCTCTGAAACCCTCTCTAAAATTCTTGAAGCGATTCTCCATTAAAATGGAACCTGATCCAATTTCTAATCTCCCTCCGGAGATCGCAAGTCAAGGTTCAATTCCTGTGGCCGATGCGTAAGTTTTCTCGTCCTTTTTCTAATTAAAGTCTTTGATGTTGTATAACTTTTTGATTTTAAGAATGATTTATTTCCCAATCTTGAGATTATTAACGAAATTTGTTGTATAATTCTTTGATGTTGTATAATTCTTTGATATTGTATAATGTTTGATGTCGTAAATTCTTTGATGTTGTAAATTCTTTGATGTTGTATAATTCTTTGATGTTGTAAATTCTTGATGTTGTAAATTCTTTGATGTTATAATTTTTTCTATTAACTAGATTTCTATTAACGAAATTTCTAACGTAAATTGTATTATTTTTTGATTTTAGGAATGATCTCATCTGAAATCTCGACAGAATTATAATTTTTGCCCATCAATTTTGATAAAACGATCTGGTTTAGGGTTAATTTTTATCAAATCTATGTACTAATCCTTTGGAGAGTAAGTTTCTTCTGAAGTTTTTGTTGATGTTGCGTGATTTTAGTAATGATCTGATTCCAAATCTGGAAATTACTATTGATCTTACACTTCTGATTTTGGTAAAACAATATTGGTTACTGTTAATTTTTATCAAATCTTTGTGAATTCTTGTAGAAAGGTGTATAATTTTATTAAATTTACTTATTCAGTCTGTGGTTGATTCAATTTGGTATAACATTTTAATTAAACCATGCTTGGGCTAGGCTAGACTAATTCCTAAAGGGGTTTTTGGATCAGTTTTGTGCTTAAGGGTTATTGTGTATATTTTGATTATTGTGTGTAAATTGTATATCAACTCATGATTAAAATTATCTGCTATGTATATACTCTGAATCCTATGGATTAATCTCTTAATAATCTTGCTAAATTTTCAAGATTCAATTTGTTCAGTAGAATTTGTTCATAGACTCCTTACTTGAACATATGTTTGTCTGAATTTATGTTGTTTTTCTTTTTAACTAACAGATATGAGGAACTTAACAATGATAATCGATCTGTACCTCGAGATACAAAAGATGATTCATATGTTCTCTGTAAATCTCGTGGCGTAAGATGCCATGACTGCCCATTTAAGCATGTATTCCCTCCCAATGAAGCGAAGTCTGAGTTTACGATGAAGATCATAAAAGCATATAAGAATGTCTATGGGTCTTTCGCTGCTGCGACAACTTATGGCAAAAAACTAGAGCCAAAGGACAAGGTGGATACTATGAAGTAAAAAAGGCTGACAAAGAGAACAAAAGGCTGCTATCAGAAGTTGATCTTCTGGTGATTAGGTACAAAGACCGGTAATCGTTTAATTTGATATTCTTTCCCACTCTGGTTGATGTATGTTCTAGTAATGTAGTTTCTTGAAAACTCTAGAGATCTGACTATTTTCATGCTCCTAAAATGTAGGTTGAGCTTTATACAAGACCGTAGTTTCAGCCATTGGGAGTTTGCACTAAAGTTGGTTAAAGTTTATATTAGTTTGAAAGAGGATCTAGTACTTTTATCTTTTATGTTCACTTTTTATCTCTTTAATTAATTGTATATTAGCGGTCACCTTTTTTTTCTTTATATAATCTTTTATTTGTCTTGATTACTTTGCAGAAATCTGTGGCTGAAAAGATTTCTGCATCTGATATAATCTCAGTGCACATGAAAATACTTTCATTGAGTTAATTCGTAGGCTTACTATTTTTTCTGTAGTATTCTTCTATTAAGTTAAATTGTACCTCCTTGTAAAATTCTTTGAGTGGTTGCCGTAGTAATTGTCTCATTTCAGGTAGTTTTTATGGGTTCAAACACCTCACCAGCTCCCATGGTCCCACCGTACTTTCTTTTTGATTGTGAACCTAACTCTGAGTAGATAAAGAAGCATGTGCAATTGATAGAAGAAGCACTGCTTGTGCATCCTTTGTTGATGGAGTATTTGAAGAGATTTGTTGTTAGTTTTCTATGCTCGCTTGGGATGTTTCAAGAATCGTATCGACAAGTTTTTGTTATTTTTTAGCTTAATCACTTTTGCAAGATATGACACTGCTTACCATTAAGGAGATCTTAAAGCCATTATCAGACGAGAATGATAATGTAGAGATCGGGGTTTCGTTTTAGTTTTTGACAGAGTTTTTTAAGCAGTGCATTCTTCATAAAAGTGTCAATTACCTTATTGACCTTATAATGTTGGATAATGTTGTAAGTAAAAACTGAAGGAGATCGCCCTCCACATTATCCAACAATATAAGGTTAATGAGGTAATTGACACTTTTATGAAGAATGCACTGCTTAAAAAACTATGTCAAAAACTGAAACGAAACCCTGGTCTCCACATTACCCTTCTCGTCTGATAATGGCTTTAAGATCTCCTTAATGGTAAGCAACGCTGTATCTTACGAAAGTGATTAAGCTAAAAAAATAGTAAAAACTTGTCGATACGATTCTTGAAACATCCCAAGGGAGCATAGAAAACTAATAGCAAATCTCTTCAAATACTCCATCAACAAAGGATGCACAAGCAGCTCTTTTTCTATCAATTGCACATGCTTCTTTATCTGCTCAGAGTTAGGTTCACAATAAAAAAGGAAGTACGGTGGGACCATGAGAGTCAGTGAGGTGTTTGAACCTATAAAAACTACCTCAAATGAGACAATTACTACGGCAACGACTCAGAGAATTTTTCAAGGAGGTGCAATTTAACTTAATAGAAGAATATTACAGAAAAAAGAGTAAGACCCTACGAATTACCTCAATGAAAGTGTTTTGTGTGCTTCTTTATCTGCTCAGAGTTAGGTTCACAATAAAAAAGGAAGTACGGTGGGACCATGAGAGTCAGTGAGGTGTTTGAACCTATAAAAACTACCTCAAATGAGACAATTACTACGGCAACGACTCAGAGAATTTTTCAAGGAGGTGCAATTTAACTTAATAGAAGAATATTACAGAAAAAAGAGTAAGACCCTACGAATTACCTCAATGAAAGTGTTTTCATGTGCACTGAGATTAACATCAGATGCAGAATTTTTTTCAGCCACAGATTTCTACAAAGTAATCAAGACAAATAAAAGATTATATAAAGAAAAAAGTGACCGCTAATATACAATTAATTAAAGAGATAAAAAGTGAACATAAAAGATAAAAGTACTAGATCCTCTTTCAAACTAATATAAAGTTTAACCAACTTTAGTGCAAACTTCCATTGGTTGAAACTGCGGTCTTGTATAAAGCCGAACCTACATTTTAGGAGCATGAAAATAATCTGATCTCTGGAGTTTTCAAGAAACTACATTACTAGAACATACATAGACCAGAGTGGGAAAGAATATCAAATTAAACGATTATCTGTCCTTGTACCTAATCTCCAGACGATCAACTTTTGATAGCAGCCTTTTGTTCTCTTCGTCAGCCTTTTTTACTTCATAGTATCCACCTTGTCCTTTGGCTCTAGTTTTTTGCCATAAGTTGTCGCAGCAGCGAAAGACCTATATACATTTTTATATGCTTTTATGATCTTCATCGTAAACTCAGACTTCGCTTCATTGGGAGGGAATACATGTTTAAATGGACAGTCATGGCACCTTACGCCATGAGATTTACAGAGAACACATGAAACATCTTTTGTACCTCGACGTACAGATTGATTTCCTTATAATGTTGTAAGTATCATCCGTTTCATTTTACTTGGGTTTTTCCAAATATTTATGTTGATCATTTGTTGGTTTTTCAGCAAGGAGGGGTTAGGTGAAATTGTGGAGCACATTCGGCTTCATGAAGTAGAATGCAAATTGGTGAAGCTTAAGCCTGGTGAAATAACTTCTGTGATAGATGAAGTACAAGGTATCATTAGTCAGTTTCCTGCTGTCAAGGTATTCCCACTATTGCTTAGGGTGAGTTTCAGTCCAGTGAAGCGTTCTGAGAAAAATATAAAATCAACAGATGACCAGGTTATTGGATCAGTAGACGCTCAGGTTTTAGTTTTGACTTCGTACTATTTGAACATTATGGATTCAAAATTGTTACCTCAATTGTACGATTGAGTTTCTGAATGTCTCTTTTAAATGTTGCCCTGATTTGTAACAGGTTTTAGCCTGGAAAGACCTGTTGGAGGACATTTGCGATGAGGACTGTTGAGCTTTTAGTTGCTGTTCAAAAGTTTTGCTTTCTGAGAGGAACTCCTGCACTGTCCATTCCTATTTTCCAAGCATTATTAAATAGTAAAGTTGTCTTGAGTAAAACTGTTCGTGAATGGTCAAATTTTGATAAAGAAATTCGAGGGAAGGTATTCATATTTTTAATTTTTTTTCAAAAGAATATGTCAAAAAACGGTTCTCATTGTTACATTTTGTTTTGGCAGGAATGAAACAATGCTAGTTATGGCACCATATTTTGCATGTCTTAGGCAAGTGGAGAAGATTGTGGCTTCGTCTATGGCTTTGTCCTCGAGTGCTGAGTAGTGTAGATAGATATTTTGTTACATATGTACATTGGTCTATCTTGGATCATGATGAAAATATTAGCTTGGGTAAAGTTGGATCCTTCAGTCTTGGAACTGTTAGCAGATAAGATCAGATCAATATGAAAGTATTAGCTTCGGTCGAGTTGATTTCTTTCTTGTTCTCTGTTGAACTTGAAAACTTTTTACAGGTCTTAATCATAGCTTCTCAAATTCATTACATGATCTCAAAGTTTCTCATGCCTCTAGGTCTATGCACGTGGGAAAATCATATTGATATTGCATTATTTCTTTTCTTTTTATGATCCGCTTTATAGACATATATATGCAGTACTCTGGGCTTCAGTTATAGCAGCTCTCAAGTCATCGAATGATCTTTCTAGTTCTCATGTTTAAAGGCCTGTGTATTGTAAAGTTTGCATTGTCTTTTGTTAGGCATTGCTTAGGGATGTCAAATGGGTGGTTTTGATTGGGTCTTGATTGGGTCATAAATTAGTGGGCACATTTATGACCACATGACTATTTATGACTCATTTAGCATTTGCTAAATGGGTCACTTCTTAACCACTCATTTACTAAATGGGTGGTTCATGGGTGACTTAATAACCCATTTAGTTTTGATTATGATACTTCTATATATATGTAAGTTTTAGGGATCTACTTGCAAACTTTCAGGGGTTTTTTATAAATTTTTAGGGGGGTTTCTGTAAACTTTTAAGGGGGTTTTCTGCAAATTTTTAGGGGTTTTCTGCAAACTTTTAAGGTTTTTTTACAAACTTTCAGGGGTTTTTTGTAAACTTTCAATGGGTTTTCTGTAAACTTTCAGGAGGTTTTTTGTAAAATTTTAAGGGGTTTTTTACAAACTTTCAGGGGTTTTCTCTAAACTTTCAGGGGGGGTTTTACAAACTTTCAGGGGGGTTTCTGCAAATATTTCTTTCTCAGTTAAATCGACTACTTGGGAAAATCTCTTTTGAGGGGCTTTGCTAACTGCAGATAAACATTATTAAGTTATCACATATGATTAACTCTTCAGCTTTTAGCCTGTGGGTACAGATTGGACTATGATTTCATAATGTCATATACTATAAGATTATGCATGCAAGTTCTCAAATTACTACATCAATCCCGTATGTTCGCATATCGACAGCATATGGACAATAACTACCAAAAGGAATTCCTGGGATCACCTTTTGTATAATTTTATTACACGCAGCAGTTGCTTATCATTAATAGAATTAGTGGAAGTAAAGCAGAATACACGAAATGTAATTTTAGTGAACCTGTGAAGGTGAATAAACATATAGTACAAATGGACGATCAAGAAATAACTGAGTAATCATTTTCGTTATCTAGGTTCAATCATTCGTCGTCATGATGGTGACATTAAGGATAACGCCACTCATTGAATTAAATCAGGATGGATTAATTAGTGAAAGACTATAATGTCTAAATACCTCTAAATACCTCTAAAAAAATTAATAAATTGATTACTTCTTTTATTCACTATTGGGAGTTGAAAGACAAGGATATAATATTTTACTAAAACATTATATCATATAGTGATTAACCAAAACCTTAACCAAATTCTCGTGCATTCTCCAATATCCACACGTAGCAAAAGTACCTAACCTTAACATTGTGAGCGCCTACTTTTTATATTTATATATCCTTGAGGGTGTTTTTTGTAATTTTTAAAAGTTTGAGGGTGTTATTTGCAAATTCGCAGAAAGTCTGTCGGTTCCCACTGTGATCGTCAGCTTGTTTGGGTAGAAAATTATTTTCATTGCTGAATTCATTACAACTTCGGGCGTTACAATAAATTCAAAACAAATATAGCATTTTTATAAGACTTTTAATGCAATGAAAATAGATTACAAGTCTCTTTCAAATAACACGCAACGGGTGTTTATCGCCTATTGCTTTCGTGGGATCTTTGCCTGTGCCGGGGTTTATCCGTGGACCGCCTACGGATCGGATCCGGTTGACAGAAAATTGATAGAGCTCCTACTTCACCAAGGAAGTATTCGCTTGAAGCTCTGAAATCGACCAAGCGAAATCAGTAGCTCTTCTTGAGATTAAGACCAAACCTAATCTCAAGGAACAGACGGACAGGGCATCAGATCTCTCGAACTCTCCCTCTTTATGCTAAAAAACTTCGTCGAGATCAGTTAGCCTCCTCTGAAATTCGTGCTTCCTTGCTCTCCAACTCGGCAGCACCTCCTCGTCTTGATAAAATTTCGTCCTTGTGAAATGAGCCACTAGGCATGTATTTATAGGCTTCGGATACGGGTCTTCGGATAAGAATGAACGATTTGGCCTTATCTTCAGTTAATAACTGTTTAACCATGTTTGTGGATGATATCAAGTCAGTTGGGAACCCCTGGAACAGATAAATCCCAAGAAAACAGCACAAAACCATCAAAAACGTGTTTTCGGGTCAGAACTGCGCGAAACGGCTCGTGCTGAACCACGGGGGCGCGGGTCAACCGAGTTTGACTCGCGTTGGCGCGGGTCGGATGGATCCGTCTCGCAGGCCGGATCCGTCCCGTGCCGGCGCGGGTCGGACGGATCCGTCCCGTGCTGGCGCGGGTCCGCCAGCGCTGTCTCGCATGGTTGTGGGTTAACCGCCTTAGCCGAACTTCTTCTTTTTGGCACTTTACGACTTTCCGGGACTTGTACTTTCTGTCACTTCGTTTACTTGTCCGTCGTGTTGACTTGTACACTCCGCGCGCGTTGACTGAAGTGCACGCGTTGACTGAAGCGCGCGCGTTGACTGACGTGCTCGTGTTGATCGACGCGCGCGAGCTGATTGACGCGCACGTGTTGACCGACCTGTGCGAGCTGATTAACAAGTGCATTCGGTCACTTTGAATCTGCCTGACAGGCATGTCGGGTACTTTGGATCCGCCTGACAGGCGCGTCGGGCACTTTGGATCCGCCTGACAGGCGCGTCGGGTACTTTGGATCCGCCTGATAGGCACGTCGGGCACTCTGATGAGTGCGTCTGGTCACTTGTGGCTGACTGACGCGCGCGGGTTGACCGACAGGTACGTGTTGACTGACGTACGTGTGTTGACTGAGGTGCGCGAGCTTACTGACGTGCGCAACAGCCAATTGGATAATTCTTCTTGAATTGTTCACTCTTTGTTTCGGGCTGTGTGCGGACAACTATAAGCATTTAGACGCCTACACAACAGAAGTTGTCGTAATGAAAAAAATAAATATCCTAGGGACTTGTTTGGTACATAGGTAAAGAGGGACAATGGTAAATTTTAACATATTATACATTGCCTTATCTTTACCATATTTATTATCATATTTATTATCGTTCTAAAACTTCACCACAAATAAACTTTAACCCCTTTTAGAGCATCACCAATAACTTCCCCAAAATTTTCTCCAAAATAGGGAAGCAAAAGTCATATTCTCCAAATTATTTTTGCTCCAACTCCGACAGCTTCCCCATTTTATAGAATCCTGTATTTATTATAATAATAAAAATATTCTACATCTTTGACTGATAAAAAATAAATTATTTTTTATTTGAAACTTTGAAATAACGGCTAGTTTCCAACAGCTAGTTTCCAACGACTATTTTCTAACGACTAATTTACAACGGCTAGTTGACTTTTATCTTTTATCTATATATATAAGAACAAATCTCATCACTTTTGTTATCTCATTCTCACATTCTTTGCTTCCTCATCTTTTTCTCACTTTGAAAATATATTTTATGGCTCGTCGTTCGTTGGCTAGTCGTTTTCTGGTTGATACGTTCATGGGTGACGACGACAATATTGACAACAAATATGAAGAATTGTTACTTGCTCAGATAGAAGAAAAAGGTCGTGCTAACCAGAGTTCAAGAGGAGGTCATTGTGGTTCTATTATGGGTCACCGTATTGTTAATCATGATCTAATTGAGGGTCATGAAAGACTTTATCGTGACTACTTTGCCAATCCTCCAAAATATGAGGATCGTCTCTTTCGAAGGAGATTCAGAATGAATCAAGCTCTTTTCATGCGCATTCATGATGTCGTCGTCGCGCACGATACTTCTTTTGTTCAAAAGAGGAATGTTGCTGGGCGTCTTGGTTTGTCATCACTTCAAAACATAACAGATGCTTTTCGACAACTTGCATATGGTGTTCCAGCCGATTATGTTGATGAGTATGTGCAGATTGGGGAAAGTACCGCTATTGAAAGTCTCAAAAAGTTCATCACAGCAGTCGTTGAAGTGTTTGGTGATGAGTACTTAAGGGCGCCAAATAGTGATGACCTTAAGAGATTACTTGCAATAGGTGAATGACTCGGCTTTCCTGGGATGCTTGGAAGCATTGATTATATGCATTGGACATGGAAGAATTACCCTACTGTTTAGCATGGTATGTTTACTGGCCACATTCATGAACCCACTATTATTTTAGAAGCTGTAGCTTCATATGATTTGTGGATATGACATGCTTTCTTTGGATTACCTGGGTCTCTTAATGACATCAATGTGTTAGAGCGGTCTTATGTATTTAGTGGATTGGATGAAGGTAGTGCTCCTCATATTAGCTATAAAGTCAATGGGAGGCCATATGACATGGGATATTATCTTGCCGATGGTATATATCCATCATGGGCAACATTAGTGAAGACTATTCCAGCTCCACAAGGAAATAAGCATTGACATTTTGCTAAAGAGCAAGAAGGGGCAAGGAAAGATGTTGAGCGCGCATTCGGAGTGCTTCAAGCATGTTTTACGATTGTGCGAAACCCGGCAAGACTCTGGGATAAGGATAACCTAAAACATATTATGATAGCATGCATAATTATGCATAATATGATTGTCGAAGACGAGCGTGATGAACATGAGCGTATTAGTAGACTAAGGAAAATACATGGTATCGAAAAAGAATATGATCATGTTGATGAAATTCCACGCATATCACTTTCGCTCGAGCGTACACCAACAATAATGGAGTTCATCGCAAATCGTCATCGAGTTAGAGATAAACAAATGCATACTCAACTTCAAGAAGATCTTGTCGAGCACTTATGGGAAAAACATGGAGCCAATTAGTGATTTGCTTTCTTATATAAATCAATATTATGTTGTTTCAACTTCATTGTAATGTCGTTAAATTTATGAAGAATAAAATTTATATATCATAAGGCTTATCATACCAATTTCATTGAGTAGTAGTATACTTGGTCAAGATGAAGTTACTAACTCTACTGTCATTGTTCAATTTCAAGATAAAGTTATTAAGATATGTGAATATGGCCATGAACTTTGCTACTGGGAGCAATTGCAGAAAAAAATAAAAAAAAAGAGTAACAATGGTCAGCAAGCATAAAGATTTAGACATGGACTTTAACAATAACATTGTTCAAGGTCCAAACTTGAGAAACAAGATACATTTTTCCAGCTGAACTAATCTCACACAAAAATTATACCATCTAAATATTCAGCAGCTGAAAAGCTAGAAAGAAGAATCCAAAACACATGACACAAGTCTCTGCTCAAAACGAGTCAATATGTATCATTATAGAGAAATAGCATAAATATCCAGGAGTAATGACACAAGAGACTACTCATTTCCATTCTTACCAGCTCTTTTTGCAGCATAAATATCCAGGAGTAATGACACAAGAGACTACTCATTTCCATTCTTACCAGCTCTTTTTGCCAAAATTTCTCTCTGACACAAGAGACTACTCATTTCCATTCTTACCAGCTCTTTTTGCCAAAATTTCTCTCTGAAGGCTGATGATATATTCTGCTTGAAGAGGATTCGTGGAACTAGTATCCATAGATATTATTTTAATTTCCTCACTTCGAGCTTGAAGTTCAATTTCCTTTTCTCTAAGAGCAACCTGCTTTTGCTTAATATCAATTAACAACTTAAGTTGTTCTGCCTTTACGCGGTCACTTTCTAGTCTCCTTGCCCTAAATTCTTCCAACTCAGAACGGACTTTTGAAGATTCCTTCTCATCATCATCACCTTGCTCGTTGGATTTTGCTTTTTTGTTTGCTTCTTTTGCAGCCTTTCTTCCAATAGGCCTCTTCAAGGGTGCAGGTTCAGAAGCATATCCATTATCATCTTCCAAGTCAATTGTAATTTGATTTTTAGCAGGAGGAGCCTTGAAGATTCTAGTTACTTCAATTTTTTTATGTTCAACCATCCATTTTTGCTGAAACCTTAGAAGAGTCCAACAATGGTCAAATCCAAACTGATGACCTTCCTTATCTTTGTAGACCGTTTTTGCCTCTTGTATCTGCAAAGAATAGCTCATGTAAATATCTAACAGAAAAATAACATTTGAGAATGCAACATCAGTACTAACATTTGAAAATATAAATAAGCAATATGATGCTTTGACGATAAGGAAGATAATAATAGTGTGCACCTTATCTCCTTCTGTGTATCCACTTTACCGCAAGTGTTCAACTGCAACATAATGTCCACAAAACCTACTCACACTGAAGCTTATTTTTGACCAACGGTTCGTCGGTGATTTTTCAGTTCGTTCATCCGGCCAACTCTTATGATCTTCAAAGTACTGAGTAATTCTTTTCCAGAATTGGTTCTTCTTTTGATCAGATCCTTTGATTGGATCTAAGCTTGTATTCAGCCATGTAGCTATAAGAAGTTTGTCTTCCTCAGGAGAAAAGTTGATAGTTCCTTGAGATTGTTTTTGTGATTTCTTGCTGCTAGGTGCACATGGTTTCTCTTGACCAATGTGAGCTTCAGTAGTATATGTCTCTTCAAAAGTAGAACCACTGGAATGGTACTGACTCAATGGAAAATCATATGTCAGATGTGGTTCATTGAGATCATCATGGGACGATCCATTGTTGAGGAGCTCGGTGAAATTCATCTGCTGAATCTCAGAATTGCTAAACCACCAGATATAGAACTAGTAAATTGCACGTACATAGAACTATTTTGATCTTGTGTGGTATATATCATACTCAATAACAACATATTATTACAAATCACGAAACTTACACAAATCAAATTATTCAGTAGCAAAATAAGTCAATTGAAACCTACTTGTACTGCTATATCTCTTCTTGTACTGCTATAACTCTTTAAATATTATCTGAACAGTAGTAAGCAAGACTGTAGCTGAAATAAAAACTACTCAACATTGCTAACTATGAGTCAGTAGCTATATGTGTGGTCATTTAAACAAAAGTGAGGCCTCAAGTGTGAGCAAACAGTTATTCATTAGACCCTCCCTTTTTTCTGAGCCTTCGACTAAATAAGTTGTTTATTTTTAATAACCATGAATTCAATAAAACCCAGCAAATTGCAGGAAAAAAAGTAAACGGATGAAACAAAATCTACTTAGAACAGAACAGAAAAATTAAGACTAATACCAGGCTTTAGAGACCTTTTGTTAAATCGAGTCTTCTACTAAGACCCGGATTTACATGACTTCTATCAGCAAATGTTTTAAATGACATAAACATATGAAGGCATACTTCTAGTAATCAATACATGTCTACTGACATAAGGATCAAGTGGAATAGCTTTCTGCAGCAAGTGAACAATCAGCATGGTAATCAAGTCATGAATATGAACTGAATGCAATCCGCGGGGCGGACTCGTGGTTAGCAGCTCCCCATGGGGGAGGTGACTTCCCAAACAAGGATAAAAGTTACCCTCCCTTCCCCTCACCCCCATTACCCTCAATCCAAACAAGCCCTTAGAGAAAGAGCATGTTTTCTTGGGTTTTGAGGGCTGGGAGCATTTTTCCCTAGATTTTAACTTGTACAATATGTTGCGCGCAGCGGAAATTTCGGCAGCACTTCGGCAGCACAACAAGAGTTAGGTCGCAATAAGAATTCTTGTTTCTCAAAGGGAACAAGAATCTGAAGCCTAATATCTCATCAAAGTGAGATATTAGCTTTCTCTCTCGTCAGCTCTAGGACTGCGCGTCGAGGGAACCTAAAAGCTACTACAAATCACACAAATAGCAGTACAACCACGTGGTTCGGCAAATTGCCTACGTCCACGGGGCAAGGAGAGGGAGAGATCCACTAATAGAGTGAGAGAATACAACTAGGGTTTACAATCACTCACAATCTAAACCCTCAAACAAACTCTCTCAAATCTCTCACAAACTCTCTCTACAAAAGGATGCACAAAAAAAAAAACAAAGAAGAGACTGCACAAATTTTTCTCCCGCAGTCAGCCGACAAAACAAATTCCGTGCTCTCTTTGCTGCAGCCGCCTAACACCCAAAAAACTCCTTAGCTAACCAAACCTAGGTTACGAAGCCAATGTTTATATAGCTGCAAATTTGGGCCGCACGTGGGCCACTTATTCACGCGGAAACGAAACCGCAGGCTCACGCGATTTTCCCAACTTTTCCCAACCGTGGTCCCCACTTCACGTTCACACAATCTATTCCTTTATACAAATAGGGGGATCAGAGATTCACTGTTCATGCTGCAGTAAATGCTACAGCAGCATTCACTGTAGCATTATTACTGTAGCCAATAAGCAATTAAAATATTACTGTAGCACACGGGTGTACTGCAGCATTTAAAAGGTACTGTAGCAGAGCGGGGTACTGTAGCACTTTCAAAAATTCAAATCATACCATATTAAAAAGCGGGATTACTGTAACAAAAAAAATACCGTGCTTTGCACGGACCGCAAACTAGTATGTTATACCAAAACCAACTATTCTAGAGTGAAAATTTCATGTTAAGGGATGAGCCCTACTATTTGAGGTGACTAGGCAATTGGGTGATGTCGCGATTCTGTGCAGCACACGGACCACAGGATCAAGGACCCACGTCAAAGCATTTTACTGGGCCAATA